CTGAAGACTTAAAGTACTGACTGATGTAAGCTCTGCTCCCTCTTGATCATAGCTTATGTACGTGTACATGTAATATGTTTCTTCTTTTTTTAGCCATGTGACTTTCAAGCCGAGAGGGCATCAGTCCGTGTCAAGTCAGAGCCTACTCTAATGAAGCAGTTACTATTAGCCCAACCGGATATACGGGTTAGTAAAACCAGTCTGACTACTTGTGTACTTACTCTCCCTCTCTCTAGGTTGATTTGATAAATGAGTCTATGGTAGTATTGTCTTCTGGTAGTGTTCCCATTAAACCTTTAGCTAACAGTCAGTTCTTTTCTGTCTCTTGCTCACTCACTAGTTCAAGTGGCTTGGGTGGAGGGACCACACCCAGTATTAACGTAACACTAGCAGTACAAGAGAACAAAGTGAAGCTAATATCATTAAAATATATGATTATTTTTATTTTATTTTTTAAAAATTTATTTTATAGGAGAGTAGTGAGTCTCTTTCCCCAGTTCCGTCACTCAAGGAAGGACAAGAGGAGGAAGATGGTCACAATGTCTCCAGCTCTTCATCTTCTGCCAGTTCTTCAACACCTCAACCTCCTCCCACTTCAAGTACTCTACCTGCTACAGCCCAGCCTCACTCAACTTCACAATCCCCTGATGATAGACATGCCTCAGCTAAGAGGAATTTAGCACAAGTAAGATGATCTAAGATCGCTTACCTTTATTTTAAGTACACACAATATTGTCATTAATTTTTATTTGCTGTCTTTTTATTATTTTATTCTTTTATTTTTATGTCATAGTCTTTTGAAGAAGTGTCTAGTTCATCTCCACCAGGAGGGAGTTCCTCTTTCAAACCATCGACTAGTCTAGCTTCTCCTCGCTCACTGAGTCCTCCGGTGACCACACCCACTGTATCATCTCCGCCCAGAATAACCTTCACTTCTCCCAAGACGAGTCCTTTGCTGTTATCCCAGTCTGTGGGAGGAGGAGGAGGGGGAGGACGAAAAGGAGGAGAGAAAAGAGTCATGCAATCGCATCAGAAATACTCTTCGCTCATTGCTGGTTCCTCTCCTACTTCTTCTCCTCTTAAAACCAGCAATGTAACACAGTCTGGAGGAGGTATGTGTGTTATAGGGAGCCCTGCTAATAAATTGATTAATGTTAACTGTACAGGTACTCTCTTGTTTGATCAGTTGACATCACGTCCCACTGGAGCTAAAGGAAGAGAGGTAGTGGCAGGTCCCACTACTAGAGGGACAGTCCCTCATTCCTCTTCAGCCCCTAAGCCTCAGTTGGAATATCAAACTGCCATGGAGCTTGAGTTGTGGAAAATGCAACAAGAAGAGGAATTTATGAAAGGACTCAAGTGAGCTCATAATGCGTCTCTCATTATGACGTCATTATGATGTCATTATGATGTGATAGGGAAAAAGAAGAAACTCAACTGAAGCTACTCGCAGAAGAATTTCAAAAGAGAGACAAACAGAGAGAAGACGTTTTAAAACAAAAAGTAAAAGATCTGCTTTATCTTTTTTGTTCAATATTTCCTTTGTTAGATGGATTATTATCAAAGTCTTGAGGGACAGCTGGCAAGAACTCTTAAAGAGTTAGAGTCCCAGAGGCAGAAACTGAAGGCAAGAGAGCAAGACATGGTCTCCACACAAAGAAGACTTGAAGATGAACGAAGGTCAGAGAGAGAGAGAGGAAACCATATGAAGTTGCATTATTGTGTGTGTTAATTCATAATACACTGTAGGTCTCTTCAGTATGATGCTAAACGGGAGAAAGGACTGCTACAGTCTGAACTAGAGGGAAACCTTCAAATTGAAAAGTAAAAATTTGAAGCAACAAATGAAATACTACTTTGTTACATAATTCAATAAAAATAGACTCAAATCAAAGGAACTCGCCATTCAGTTGGACAGAACGAGGAGACAGGTCAGTGAGCTAGAGAATAGGCTCCTTCAGAGAGAAGCTGAGTTTGAAATGTATAAAGACAAGATTCATTCACAATCATCGGAGACACAGCTACAAACAGAACTGGGGCTATTGAAACTAGAGAAGGTAAGAGAAAGATATTGAAACATAACGTAGTACTAGGATGGTATTATGATATTAATTATAATCCAATATATTTTAATTTAGGCTGAATTGGAACACAAGCTAGAAACAGCGACAAAGTCAAAGCAGCATTACAAAGATGAATGGAGCAAGGCACTAAAGGAGGTAGCATCACTGAAGCACAGGGAGCAAACTGTAATGAGGGACCAACTCAAGAAGCAGCAGCTGGAGCTGGAGGCTATGAGAGTCAAGTATCTTAGAGCTGAAGAGCAGCAATCCTTACAACAACAGCTCCAACAGATTAAAGATGAGACACAAAGGTTAGATGTTTATCATTTTGGAAAATATTTTGAAAATCATTTTATCCCAATGGTCAATGCTGAACTCTATCATCAACTCTTATTATTTCTTTTCTCTTTTTCTTTTATTTTTACTGATAGATTGCATGCTCAAGCATTATCAAAGACACCTGTACCAGGATCCCCTCGCCATACTCCTACCCGACAAACCACCCCCATACTCACCTCACCACGTCTCCAAACCATCGACGCTAACATTGCCAGATGGATTGAAGAGAGGAACATCCTTCTACAGACTGGAGTGTACACTCATGCTGACCCAACCATACAAAAACTGGACAAGAAGATACAGGAAGCATTATTAGAGAAGAGATCAACTTATAATTCTAGTTCTTAACACCTTTTCAGGCACATGAGACTCTAACCCACACAGCCCCTTGTCTATATTTTCTGTATCATCACACAATGTACTGCTATTAGAATTAGCTCTAGAGTTCTTACTTATCTTTTACCCATTTTACCACCCAAAGAAATTTAAAAAAATAATTAATTATTGTTTTGTTAATTTTAGAATTCTTTAACTTTTAATTATTGGGTGTGGCTCATTAATAATTATTTATTTATGAGCCACACATGCTTCTTTATAAAGACCACGTGTTTGTGTACTTTCATCATGTCTGCCCCGAGTCCTCCTATTGCTTCTCCTGTCCCTCCTGTAGTCGTCCCTACGCCATCACCTCAGGCATCCAGCCCAGAGTCTCCTCCACTCAAGAATCCAGGGGAATATGAAGAGATAGGGAAAAAGACAAAAGGTATTTTTGTATTAAAATAAGTCAAGTATTATGTATAAAAAATAAAAATAAAATTATTTTAATTATCCTGATTTTGGAGAATGAGCACTGTAACTTCTATCTGTTGGTGGAGAGAATTTGCATGGGGAATTCTACATTTTATATGATTTTTGTAATTTTCTGTCATTTACTGGTAGAGTCTATCCTTCCAAGCAATTTCGATGGTTGCAAGTTAGTCCTACAGAAAGGTCTGAGTCAGCACTTTCAGACGTCACATACGGTCACTTTGGGCTCAAGCTCTGCTCCTTCTCAGTGGCAGTTTGGAGCCACTTATGTGGGACACAATAAAGTTGGAGAGAATGATGTGAGTCTTAGCAATTGAACAAGAAATAGTGTAGCCATTCCCATACACAAGGCAGACCTATTGCAGTTACTTTAATGTTGTAAGGATGTATAATGTTGCCTTGAATAGACCTGCTAGCTATTCTTGGCTATTTTGGGCCTAAAGATCAAAGTAACCACGAATTTCCAGCAATAGAATTAGTTGTGGGCCTAGTTTTTAGTACCAATGTGTTAGCTAGTGAAATAATTAGCAAGTTTATTATTATCAGTTTATTATTCTAGTTTCGTCCAGTTCTTCTTGGAGACATTGGTACCACTGGTAATTTCACTGGTGTCTTCCTGCATCAGTACAAAAACCTGAAACTAAGGATCAATGCACAAGTATGATGCAACAGACACCTAAGCATTATGCAGGATTAAATTCTTATTTTAGACTCAAGGCTCTAAGTGGGTAGGATATCAAGGGACTGCTGATTATCTTGGACAGGATTACACAGGATCACTAACATTAGCTAACCCTGATGTCATATCAGGATCAGTCATTGCTGTTGCACAATATTTGCAATCAATAACTTCAAGGCAAGTGGAGCAACCAACCATCACTTACTCTCTCTTTTTAGGTTAAGTTTAGGAACAGAGTTACTAATACAGAAAGGTGGTGGTATGGAATTAGGTGCACTCTCCGTTGGAGGAACATACAAGACATCATCTTGGGAGGCTGCAGCTAAAATAGGAATGCAGTGGTACCTTTCTTATGTACAGAAAATACCAAACGTCAAGGTAAGAGGAATCAGTTTATTTATTTAATTGTACACCAGAGTATTGATGTCCTTATGCTATGCAAAAAGCTTGAGCTGATTCCGACTTCAATTTTCCAAGTTATGGCCATTTTTAAAAATATGCCATTTTCTGCAAAATACCCAAGACTATAGCCCATGGTTTTTTCCAAAAAATGGCTCCGAAATCACCCCCAATTTTTATTACATTTTCTGATACATATTGATGTACTTATGCTATGTAGAAAGTTTGAGTCGATTCCGACTTCAATTTTTTTGAGTTATGACCATTTTAAAAATATCTAATCAACTTATTACTTATGATAGGAGCTAACACTAGTAGCTGAATGCGAAGGTAGTCTGATGAGTGGTGAGACTGTATCAGCCATTGGATATCGCTACGACGTTGGCAACGGCTCTGCCACATTTAAAGGCAAAGTGGACTCAAAATGGACAATAGGTGCACTAATAGAGAAGAGATTGGACCCACTACCAGCCAACCTTCTTATAAGTGGACAGCTCAACCACATAAATAATGAAGCTAAATTTGGGGTTGGTTTCATGATTGGCTGAAGATTATAAGTGAATGTATGTACATGTATGTATGTATGTGTGTGTATGTATCATTTTGGAAAATTGGATTTTTTGTTATTAAGTTATTATTTAATGTACCTATTATTATTATTTACATGTGTATTTAATGTATAATAATGGTAG